GATTTATTTTTATTTAAAAAAATACAGTGCAGAGGTCCCAGGCCTACAGGTAACAATTTTCTAATCTACCACATTTCTACATCCTGTCTCGGAGAGTAAAATCCTACCTCCTTTCTTGCCTGGTATGATAAGACCTCAGAGAGTCTTATCATTACAAAACCAACGAGGGAAGACATAATAAATTGCTTAGCTAAGGCAGTGGCAGTGGTTCTTGGTGTGGGGATGATTCAAGAGCTCTTTTTGGAGACAAAATTGGCAGAATTAGACAGCTGGACAAGGTGGCTTAGGGAGAGAGGGAGGAGTTAGTGTTGACTTTTAGGGTTCTGGATCAGAAGATGAGGATGCTGCTAATGGAGTTGCTCTATAGAGAAGGAGGGGAAATTTGGAGAGAAATATGTTGACTTTGCAAACTACCTAGAATGCTTGTGTCTACCTGTGCAAAATTAAATGGAGAAGTGAGGCAATTATCTGAAGACTGCAAGTAAAATAAGTCCTTTTATTTTGATGGGGTGGGGAGAGAGAACGACGCTTGTTGAATTTTTACCTACTTTGTTTTAAGGTCTCTTTCATGGAGACAACACGGAGAAGGAATCATAACATCTCCCCTTCCAACTGATTATTTTAGAAGTCCCAGAACATCATTATTTCACTAAAGAGAGTCCAGAATTCACACAGAGAGGGTGTATTAGTTTCCTTTTGCTGCTGTGACAGCACAATTAATTGGCTAAAAGCACACATTTATTATCTCACAGTTCTGAGGGGCACATTCCTTCAGGAGGCTTGGGAAGATAATCTGTTTTCTTGCCTTTTCTTTTTTCTTTTTTTTCTGAGACGGAGTCTCACTCTGTCGCCCAGTCTGAAGTGCAGTGGCACAATCTCAGCTCACTGCAACTTCCGTCTCCCAGGTTCAAGTAATTCTCCTCCCTCAGCTTCCTGAGTAGCTGGGATTACAGGTGCATACCACCACACCCAGTTAATTTTTACATTTTTAGTAAAGATGGGGTTTCATCACGTTGGCCAGGCTGGTCTCAATTCCTGCCTGGCTTGGCCTCCCAAAGTGCTGGGATTACAGGTATGAGCCACCCCTCCCAGCCTCCTTGCCATTTCTAGTTTCTAGATGCTACCCACATTCCTTGTCTTGTGGCCCCTTCCCCTTCCTCCATCTTCAAGGCCAGCAGTGTACCATCTTCAAATCTCTCTCTCTGACCTCTGCTTTTTTTGGTCACATCTCTTTCCCTGACTCTGATTTTCTTGCCTGCCTCTTACTGTTATAGGACCAACAGATGCAAATGCCTCTCTGCACAGCAATGGTCCAATACACTGAAACAGCAGGGTTTGCAGCAGAGAAACTTTAATGATCGCAGGGCACCGAGTGAGGAGCTGGGAGGAGATCCTCAAATCTATCTCCTCAAAGAGTTTTGGGCTGGGGTTCTTAAGGGGATGATGGGGGGTTGAGGGGCTGGAGGGTGGGGGTCATTGATTAGTTGGGGTAAGGTGGATGAAATGATCAGGACATGGACACTGCATTCTTTGGTGAGTCAGCTTCTTGTGGGACCCTTCAGAGCAGCTGACCTCACTGGTATGCAGGACCTGAAAGAATATCTCAAAGGGAAAATTGATGTCTTGTAATATCCAAGTTGTTATCTATGGAGCAGTTAAGGGGAACTATAACCTTGTAACAAGGTCTATGTGATTCTGAAGCAATAGGCCCCAAACAATGATGAGGCAGCAGGTCAGAGAGCAGGTTGACTCTGTGATTAAGGCTGCATGAGCTATAAGCTTGGTTTATTTTTGTTTCTCCCCCTCCCTTCCTCCCTGATTAATTTTGTAAAGTTTATAGGGACAGTTTCATTAGGAGGCCGGTTGTGATTACACTGGATCCACCTGGGTAATCTGGGATAATCTCCGCATCTCAACATTCTTAACTTAATCACATCTGCAAAGTCCCTTTTGCTGTGTAAAGCAATATATTCACCAGTTCTGGGCATCAAAATGTGGGCATTTTGGTGGGTGCATTATTTTGCCTGCTATGAAGGGTCTGTCTTGTCCTTTATTCCACGAGACTCAGTTCCAGAAGGGGCAAAACAAGGGTTGCTGGTCCTCCTACCTTTCTTTTTTTTCTCTTTCCAAGTCTTGAAAGGTTTTGGCTCACACTTGCAATTATGAGTTGATATCTACAGACACTTTTGATAAATTGGAAGTTTGGGACTTATTTTGATACGTCATCTTGTCAAGAAACATTTCATCATTATTTGAAGTTTGTTGCTGTGCTGTGCTATGTTCGCCAACACTGAGTGATGTAAATAAATTTTCAGCATGTATGCCAAAGCAGAATAATCCCCCAAACAGGAAAAATAGCAAACACCCCAATCCCTTCACTTTAGGGAGTCTTATATTCTCTGGAGGAGAGGAAATCAGGTAGCTCCAACCCTGGTGAGATGTGTAGTAGTGATGACTTCTTCTAGCTATCTTTTCCTGACTTCCTGGTGTGAATTAGAAATTCCTCCTCTGTTCTTCCATGGTATCTAGAGTAGAGCTTTATTTTACAGCATTTATCATATTGTATTGTAATTCTTTGCTTACTTATCAGTCCCACTAGATTTTATTATAAGCAGAGATCGTGTCTTATTCCCAGTGCATTTCCTGGTGCCTAGCATCCTGGCTACCAATAATTATATGTTGAATGGATGAAGGAAGGTAATTGTTTCTGAAATAGCTTCTGAATCTTGAATTTCCCTTAATGTTTATATTTTACATTTCTCATTGACTTGCAGAAATACTATAATGGTAAATGAGATAATTTCTCTACAGTGCTTAAGATCTTTGGAGAAATGTTTCATTAGGCTAAAGCTCATATGCGGATATCAAATGAAACTGTGAGCTAAAATTGACCATTTTCCTTTCGTTTTGCCACCAAAGTTGTTGGTTGGGAAAAACTTTCCTCCATGGTGAATTTGAGTCAGCTAGGAACAACATACACAATTGTACACAATACCTGACAAATGGAAAACACACAGTTGAGCTGTATAAAATGAGATGATGAAATAATAATAAGAGCTCTATACTTTATTGGCCACTACACTTTTAACAGCTCACCTTTTAGAAAAATAAAGACTGTGTACTGAATTTTTATGTAAATTCATTAGTTTTTTATTGTTGATGAAATGGAAAACATTTCTCTTGAAGTCTCATCGTTGATGTATTAGTAAGCTTTTGCTGCAGTAAAAATCCCCCAAATCTCAGTGACTTACAATAACAATTATTTCTTACTCCCGTTCTGTGAGGGTTGTGGGCTTGCTGTAGCTCTGTTGGGCATGGCTCAGCCCATCTCATTGGACAAAAGTCAAATAAGCAGTCACCCCCTTGCAGTATGATCTTTTCAAGACTAAGGGCCAAAGCCCAAAGGGGTGGGAGAACAGGAGCAAACTATGCAAGCGCATTTTAAGCTTCTGCTCAGATAACGACGTATGTCTTGTCTACTCACATTCCATTGGCCAATGGAAGTCACAGGGTCAAGCTCAGTGGGGAAAGACACACTGCGTATAGGAAATGTGCCAGAATAGAAGGAAATAAAAAATTGTGAACAAATCATACCATCCATCATGCTCTGCATCCAAAGTGATGTTAGTCAATGTCATTGTTTGGCCTTTTGTGATATTAGTTATGCTTTAAAACTTTTATTTGGAGTTCAATTTATGTAGCCTGAATAATAAAGGTGATTATAATTGATCTTGCATAAATGGGGCTCTCATAAACAGGAGGAAAAAGTAAACAGATTTGGGGATTTTAGCTAAAAAAAAAATTCAACTTTATAAATATAGAAGTGTTTTTAGGATGGTGATGAAGGTCAGTTGTTTTTTATATCTGTGGATGTCACCACCAGCAGAAAAGGATTGAAATTAAAGCAGAGATATTAGGGTAGAGTTAACATAAGGAACAATTTCTTAACCAGTCAAGTGAAAAAGACATGAAAGGGCAAAGGTCTCCCTGGTAGACAATTCAATCATTTATCTGCTTGAAGAGGGAAGGCTGGCTAGAGGACAGGTTTCTGCCAATTCTTTGTTTACAGTACTTTGAATTTGGAAATAAAGAAGTCCTTTTAAGACAGATGGTATTAAAATTCTTCTTACATCAGTAAAATGGCATTAAGAAACTTAGAAGCTGGTTTGATGTAGAAAATGAGAAAAAATGAGAGAAAAATGTAACTCTGAGCATGTATCACTTCTTCAGAGAATAAAATATCACATAAATATGGTTTTAATGTATTTGTTCATTTCACTCATACTGTATATCAGGCACTGTGATCACTGCTGGTTCGGTAAGAAATCATCAAATGTATCTGGGTGTGGTGCCTCATGCCTGTAGTCCTAGCACTTTGGGAGGCTGAGGTGGGAGGATTGCTTGAGCTCAGGAGTTTGAGAACAGCCTGGGCAACACAGCAAGACCCCATCTCTACAAAAATTACAAAAATTAGCAGGGCATGGTGGTGTATGCCCGTGGTCCCAGGTACTCAGGAGACTGAGATGGGAAGATCACCTGAGCCTGGGAGGTCAAGGCTGTAGAGAGTCGTGATTGTGCCACAGCACTTCAGCCTGGGTGACAGAGTTAGACCCTGTCTCAGAAAAAAACAAAAGATTAAACATAACTTACAGTTAAAAGGTCAGATGTAATCAGCTATACATGTCACATATCACCAGCATTCTTGCTCTGAATTTTGTGCTTACAATTTGAAAAAGAGAATAAGATACTCAAACTATATTTCATGATCTACAGTTATGAAAATGTAAATGTTTTTTTTTTTAAACTACTGCCTTTCAGGTGATCACATATCTTTTCCCCCTCCTCATACATTTCTAACGAGCTCTGAAATATTTTTAGAAGACAACCGATCCTCTCTGACAGCAAATTCTCATTTTATTTGCTTTTGAGGTGGACTTGTGAACATGGCAGTGAGTGAGTGGCTCAGGGGCGGTTGCATTTGGTGAATACATTTAAAGAAGTTACGTCTTCTGGAAAGTCAAACAGTACAGCATTATTATGAATATGTTCATCAGTGCAGCTGTTTAAGAGGCCGAGAAACCAATGGTTTGCTTTTTTCATGAAAAGCTGCAGCCATGATTTTTTTTTGAAATGACAGAAATATTTGTCAGAGCAGTGGCAGTTGGTATGTGGCATTATTGAGTCTTAATCTGTGTGCTAGCAACGGAATGTATTCGCTTCTTTGTTATAACCAATTTATAATAATCCTAGCTGACTCTTCCCTAGAGCTTCCCTTGAGCCAGGCCAATTGAAGCTGTTCAGAACTGCTGACTCATTTAATCCTCACAGCAGGAGGGTAGAAGCTGTTAGGTAGCTGCATCCTTATTCCCATTTTGTAGATTAAAGAATTGAGGCACAGAGCGACTAAGAATTTGCACAAGGTCCCGTCATTAGATGGCGGGGTCAGGCTTTGAACCTAGGCTGTGTTTGATTCATTTTGCTCCCTCTCATCAAGTGAGTCCAATAACCTGACATCTGATTAAAAGCAAGAAACGATTCCTGTTCTCTTTGGTTTCATCCTACCCTGAGCCTTCTACTTGATTTTCTGGCTCTTCTGGTTTGGACTACGAGTTTGTAATTGCTTTCATTAATGCAGGTGAAGAACTTTTCCCAGATATTTGAGGTGTTGAATTGCAAAACAATACAATGTATACATCTATGCACACTTAAAACGAGCCGTGGTCATTTATTAATCAAGAGAAGCTTGCCTCGGGCCAAAAATGACCAGTCGCTCTGCAAGGACAGGTATTAAAAAGCACGGGGTCTGGGAGCCGGTGAGAGAAGGCTCTTTCTCATCTAGGATCCGAGGACTTCCCGCGGACACGCGCGGGAAGCGACCTCTCGGAAGAAGCCCGTAGGAGCGGGCGCGGTGCAACCCTCGGCGCCTCTGGGACGCGGGTCTCCGGGTTCCCCGCGGATCTTCCGGCCCTTGGGCCTGGGCGCGTCGCTGCGCACAGCAGAGACGGCCTCCGCCCTGGGACTGGGTGCCGCTGTCCCCGGTTTTACTGGCTGGAGGAGGAGGGAGGGCGCACCCTGGCCCCGCACTCCCCGCGACATTTGGGTGCCAGGGACGTCAGTCAGCCTGGGATGAGGGTGCCCCTGGCTGGGGAAGAGAAGCGAGAGGGAGAGAAGGGAGTACGTGGGTTTGAGCATTCTCCCCACCGGTGTTTGTCACGTCCCCCGCCTGGATCCCTCCCTCCCCAGCCGCCGCCCACCTGGGCTCCCCGGCCTGCGGCGGCGGTGGCGCGAGGCTCGCTCCCCAGGCCGCAAAGTCGCACCCGCGGCGGTCTGCGGAGCTTTCCGGGTCTCTGCCCGCCCCCTCCCCCGCTGCGCCCTCCCTCCCAGGGTGCCCGACGTGCACGTTCCCTGCCACTTCGGTCCAGGCGCGCCAGTGGGTTTGGCCTGCGCGGCGGCGGCGAGGCGGGGGAGCGAGTGAGCGCGAGGGGCGGGCGCGAGTGACTGTGTGAGTCACCCGTACCTGGAGTGCGAGCGACGCAGAGCCAGCGGCGCGGAGCCCGAGCCGGAGCCGAGCCCCAGCGCCTGCGAGCCCTAGAGCGCGGCCGGCCCCAGGCGCCAGGCCTCGTCGCCCTCCCTGTGCACTCACCCGGGGCCCAGCGCCTACTCGCCACCCGGCGCCAGCCGCCCGCAGCCCTCCCGCCTGCCCGGAGGCGGTGCGGGGCTCGCTGGGGGATGTCACAGAGGCTCCTCGGAGCCAGCAGCCGCCGCCGCCGCCCCCGGGAATCGCGATCATGAACCCCCAGTGCGCCCGTTGCGGAAAAGTCGTGTATCCCACCGAGAAAGTCAACTGCCTGGATAAGGTGAGCGAGGGGGCGCCGGGCCAGCCTCGACCTGCTGGGCGCCGGGCTGCACCTGCTCCGAGAAGTTTTGGCACCTGGGATGGAAAGCGATGAGTGGGTCGGTGCGTGTGCCTGTGCCTTGGCACGGGGGGAGGGCGCGCGAACGAAGACGCCCGCGGGAGTGTCACAGACACGCTTGGCGATTGTGGTGTCGGAACCGGGAAGGGCTTTTGTCGCGGTACGGGGCTGCGCGACATCGGCCGAGCCGCTGCGGAGGGCGCACGGCGGTGCGCGGCCCCGGGCCCCGGAGGGACCAGGCTGGGCACCCAGGGGGGCACTTCGGCGAGCCGCGCCCCCTCCACCTCCACTCGTGTTCCACAATACTCCCGACCCCTGCCACACAGATCCGCCCGCAATCCCACCCCACCGCCCACCCCTAGCGCTTCCTGTGACCGCGGCGAGGGGGAGAGGCAAATAGTAATTAATATGTCATGGGGCGGCCGCTGCCGCATTGCTAAGAATAATCCCTGCTGGAGAGCCCCGGCTCAGCGCGGCAAGCCGGACCCAGGGGTGTCTAATCCACCGGGTGGGGAATTCCAGGGGAAGTAGTTTTGTAGCCGGGCCCCTCCAGCCCTACCTCCTGCCCTTCCCGGGGAGGGATGGAGATGAACAGCCGGGGAGAGACACCCAGGAGCGATCCGGAGTGACTGACAGTTGAAACCAGCCAGGGGCGTTCTGGGGAAATTTGCGTCTGAAGATACAAATGCTTCGTTAGAACAAGCTGTCATCTTGACAGTCATCTCAGGCAGAGTCAGAGGTCCAGCATTTTAGTGCAAGCTGGTCCGGTGTAGGGGTACTTACACATCCCTCCTGCAGCCCCCTCAGCTTGCCTGACTTCGGCTGAACACATATTTGTTGAGATCCTACAAACCCTGCATTTAGACACTTTGAACTGGCTTCCTTTTGGTTTCAAAGCCACTCTCTGGGCCCCGTTTCTTCATTAACCGAGCTCAGAATTCTTTTCTGGCTGCTCATAGAAGTGCTGTTTCGACAGAGCGTTGACAGTTCTTCCATGGTGCGTCGGTATATTGTGGTGAGTCTTCCTTTAAGACTCAATTTTCAGAGTTGCCTGCTTGCCTGCTTTATTTATTTAGCTGAAAGTAGGTAAACACATCCACAGTTCCCTACACTCATTTTGTTGTAGTATTTTCAGCTACAGGGACTGTGATGCGCTAGAAAGCCTTCCTTCTGTGCCCATCCTGGCGAGAACTGGCATTGTACTGAATTTTTAAATTTTTTTTTCCAGTATTGGCATAAAGGATGTTTCCATTGTGAGGTCTGCAAGATGGCACTCAACATGAACAACTACAAAGGCTATGAAAAGAAGCCCTATTGTAATGCGTAAGTATTGTCAACATGCTGTCCAGGTGTGGCACAGCCTCAGAGCTTGAGAGCCAGTGGACCTGCCTGTTTTGAAGAACTGACTCACTGTGTCACTCAGGTGTGGCAGTGGCTAGTTACCTGTTTATATCACAGACTCTGGAACCATGCACTTTTTTGATGATCACTGCGTTTTATGCCTTTCTAATGTGTTGGGTAACTTCTATGCATCTTCAACCAGGTTAGTTTTTGAGGTTCACAGTGTTACAGACTTAGGGGCACTTATTAGAAGCTGCAGAACTTCCCCACTGAGAACGTGTGGGCTCTGAAGTGCATGTCAGGTAGATTTCCATTTTAATCGTGTGTCAATTTCCATTTTAATCATAGGATGTTGCCATACTGCAATTTCATACCTGAACCTAGTTGCTATGGAAAGGAGTCTTGCTCATTTGGTCTTAGCTGAGACCACTGCAGAGATTCTGGGCTTAAACAGGAAATCAAAGAGTGGTTTGAAGAATGGGACCAAAGACATGGGTGTTCCTGGCTGGTTAGTAGTAGGTCGGTTGTAGTAGATCTACTGCAGTAGACCCGGTACTTCCGGCTGGTTAGTGTTGTAGTAGGTGGGGATTAAAAAAGGTAAGCCTTCTTTGGAAGGCTTTTGTGTAGGCATGCTGCTAGCCTAGAATAGCAATTAGCTAGCATTTATATCGCGCTCACCATGTGTCAAGCTCTGTTCTAAGCACTTTATGCATACTGATCATTTAATCTTTACAACGACCCTACAAGTTAGGGGACGCTATTTTTACCCCCATTTAGCAGGTAATGAAATTGAGGCCTGGAGAGGATCAGGCTCAGGAGGGGCTCAGATCACTCCCCGAGGCTGCTGGTGGTTTGATTTGACTAGTGTTTCCATATGTCTACCTTGCTGCCCAGAGGCACATGTTTCTCCACTGCTGTGAGCATCCCCCTACCCCAGACTGTTTTCAACTGTAAGCTCTTGGCCCTGATGGTTACGTTTTCTTTTTCTTTCTTTCTTTTTTTGAGACAGAGTTTTGCTCTTGTTGTCCAGGCTGTAGTGCAATGGCATGATCTTGGCTCACTGCAACCTCTGCCTCCCAGGTTCAAGTGGTTCTTCTGCCTCAGCCTCCTGAGTAGTTGGGATTACAAGCATGTACCACCATGCTCGGCTAATTTTGACCTCAGGTGGTCTGCCCCCCTCGGCCTCCCAAAGTGCTGGAATTACTGGTGTGAGCCACCGCACCTGGCCTGATGGTTGAGTTTTCTCACCAGTTCCCCTGTGGGGTTGGCATGGTCTGGAGCCAGCAGAGGTGCCTCTGGACCTCAAGCCTTTTGGCTGGAACACTGCCAGAGATTCATCCTCCCTACAGTTTTTGAAGTAGGTTCATCATTCACGTCTCCTGGAGATGGAGGGCCCTTGGTTAATTCATGCTTCATTACATGCTGACAGTATGTTATCATAGACCGTATATTTTTGGTAACCAAATGGAATTGCTCATACCTCTCTGGTGAAGAACTTCAAAAAACATTTTATCTGGTGAAGACTGTTTAATATTTGTTTTTCCTTAGTCCTTAGTGCTTACGGGTAGACCAGAATCTTTTCAAGAAATCAGAAAATGGGGCATTGAACAGAATTCAGGACTTTCTTGGAGAGGGGAAGTCCACAGATATCCCCCAAACTTTCTGATGTCTTCAATCCTGCTATACCATTCTTCCTATTGGAATAGCGTGAAGCAAAAACGAGGTTTCGATGTCATGATTTCCTGCTTCCCTTCCAGAGAGCCATAAACGACTGGTTAAAGATCAAAGGCAGGCGTAAGGAGAAGGGAAAGGGCCCCAACCACCCATAAACGGGATAATTGTTCTTTGGTTAAAGGAAAGTGAACCATTCTTCCTGTAACTGTTTCAGTTGGCAGCCTGATTCCATCAGGCTTTATGGACCACATCAGGATTCAGGATTCTTTACAGGGCAGGGCCAGGAGTTTAACCCCAGTGATAACAATGCCTTTGAGTGGCGCTGGTAGGCCTGAAGGGATTGGGAGGGAAGGAGGAAAGAGAGAGAAAGAAAATAGGGAGAGAATAGCAATTACAACAATGAGAGAGAATTGGATAAGGGAGGAAAAGAAATGATCAAAAATAAAAGGACAGAAAACGGTTCAACTGAAGTAGAGTCGTTGACTGCATTGGGCTACTTGAAAATAATTTAGTGCTTATTGCTTAGTTTGGATTCAATCTAATTTTAAAAGTTTATGAGATTCTGAATAAGTTAGGAAGAGTTATTTTGCACTTTGACTTGATAGTGATGAGTGCCCAGAAATGTTGAGATTTGGGCCCCAAAAGGAAATGATTCTACTTATGAAAAAGAAACATCCTGTTGTATTGTTTCATAGGTCTTGATCTCATTTTTAATACTCTCAATATACCTGTATAGAATGTTTGTAGATTTTCCTCTCTAAAATTTCTCATATGATTCCAGTACATTATTATTAGTTTTAAGGTGAATTCCGGGGGTAGCACTCGAGGACTTTTGCTTCATATTGAACCTGGTAGTCCACTTTATTGAGCAGATAAATAGGGGGAAATAGGAATTCATCCTTAGTGAATGGATGAGTAGAGAGCTGATATTTAAAATTCAGATTTAGGTTCCTGTCATAGCTTGATATGCTACCTCTAGAAAATGGAACCTGGCAAAGTTTTGGGTTCTGTCTGCTATGAGGGTTCTGGGCTCGAAGGTCCCTGCTGTCAGTCTGTAGTCTGCTAAGGATACATGTTGCCATGTACACTGGCTGGGCAGTGTGGATTGCCCTCTGGGGATCCTGATGCATCTGCTCTAATTCAGGTGGTGCATGTCAATCAGCTGTTCCCTGTGGTTGTGGCCAGAGGGCTGCCATAATTTCTCTGGGTCAATAGTAGAAAATTGATTCTCTAATGTATACTGCTACCAGAAAATGAAACATTTGCTTTTCATGTAATGCAATATTTTATCTGCACCTGGTTTGGTTCAGGAGTCAATGTATATACATGCTTAAATGAAAACAACTCCATCTTCTGCTGTCGCTTTTTATTGTGAAAATTTTCATACATGCAAAATAGGTAAAAGAATAATACAAAGAACATCTCTATCCCCTCCACTGACATTCAACTATTATTAATATTTTGCCATGTTTGCTGCTTCATATTTTGATCTAATTATGTGTCCAAATATATATGTATTTTAAAAATTTATTTATTTTTATTTATTTATTTTTTTGAGACGGAGTCTCGCCCTGCAGCGCAGGCTGGAGTGCAGTGACGCCATCTCGGTTCACTGCAAGCTCCGCCTCCTGGGTTCACACCATTCTCCAGCCTCAGCCTCCTGAGTAGCTGGGACTACAGGCACCCACCACCGCGCCTGGCTAATTTTTTTTGTATTTTTTAGTAGAGATGGGGTTTCACCATGTTAGCCAGGATGGTCTTGATCTCCTGACCTTGTGATCTGCCTGCCTCAGCCTCCCATAGTACTGGGATTACAGGCATGAGCCACCGCACCCGGCCATGTCCAAATATTTTTATTACT